TTTCAAAGGACCTCTATCGATTGCAAGTAGAGAACATTTTGTTTATAAAATTTCAAATTTTTCCATTTTTTTCAAATTTATCGATTTTGTAAGTCATATATCTCGAAGGCAGAGCAATGAAACAAAATATTTTTTTTACCAATCGGTAGCTTGTGAAGTTCTCTACAAATAATGTCTTGAGAGTTTTTCAGCCTCATACTTTCTTTATTTTCTGCGATCATGTCTACAAATGGGTCATATATGACCCATTGGGGGGTAAAGGGTTAATATCGTGAGTAGTGAGAATAGTGTTGAAATAGAGTTATTATACGTATATTGTCTTTAACTTCGAATCGAGTCGAAAAACAAAATATCCTTTTTCTTCATCAATCAAGAGAATTATCTGGCGAATCCAGAAACAAACATTCGACAAACCTAAAAGTTTGTATGAATGGCTACTTTTGCATGCTCTTTATGAAAATAATATCGAATTCAAGATGTCAACTAGGATATTTTTTCTACTTTCAATGCAATAATACAAGTTTTGATGCTCTTTTTATTTCTTCTTGTTTCAGATCATTCACATTTGTACTGTCAAGTGATTATTAATACTTCAAATGGCTGACACATCCATTATCAAGGTCTCATCAACAACGTCTCCCGTAGGTGAAATGGGACAGAAGTACTTAGCAAACGGCAAGTCTATGTCGATGCGAATGTGGGAGGAAGTCAAACCGGACACGCATGAGAAACCTATGGTGTCGCGTGACTACGAAACATGCGGCTATGTCATTTCGGGCAAGGCCGAACTTCACTTTGACAACGATCAAAAGATCCTTCTTAGTGCTGGTGATTCATGGATCGTACCCAAAGGTGCCAAACACACCTACAAGATTCTGGAGAACTTCACCGCTGTCGAGGCTACTCATCCGCCTGCCGAGATCAAGAATAGAGACGCACCAGCGACTCATTGAAAAAGGACGTTTTCTCCATGACAGTCAAACAAGAGAGATAGAGAAGAGAAAGGACACATCTTTTTTTTTTTTTTTACTTTCAGCTGCAAAAAAGTGTGTTTAATAAAGAAAGAATACATTATCTATAAGTTATTGTCACATGGTGGTGTGTATTCTTTTCCACACGAATCGAGTTTTTACCACTGCGAACGGAAATTCAATAAATGTCGAAATACGGAGCTAACAAAAATCAAATGAGCTTCTATTTTCAGACTCATACTTTGCGATCTTACAATTCTGAATAAAAGTAGTTGCACTCTTAAGTCAAATTTATTTTACAATATTGAACCCTTTTTTCTATGGGTACACATGACCAACAATCAATCTTGATCGCAAGCATCAACTCAATTTCAGTCGGTCGATTTGTGGGATGTGGGTGTGGTTCCTGATATTCATTTCAACCACATGCACACCTAGTATTTTTTTATTTGATAACGAAATTAGTTTATATTTTTTGCAAATAATGTCTGATACAAAATGTACAAATAGTTTCAAGTGTAGCCATGAATAAAAAAGAAGTGTTTGGATTTGTGAGTTTTGTCGAATACGATTATAAATAGAAAAGATTCGATCAACGTAATGCTCTATCAAAAATGTAAATCAATGGGAAAAGTTGTTTCTTGTGTGTTCTTGTGTCACATAAGCTCGCACAAGCATCGATCCGCTCGGTTCAAGAAAAGATCGTTGAACAGGACGAGTCACTTGCATTGGAATGTTCTCGCTTGGCATCACATTTATTGAGGACGGCGACATCAACGTAGTCCGTGTCGTTGTCGCCGACGAAAAATTGGAAGGTGAAAATGAATCAGACAGAAATGAATGTTCACGGGATGAATCGATCATTGGTATCCGCGGACTATCATTGATGTACTGTTGCCGATAGTTCCTTAGATTCTCATTGGACATGTTACTGCTGTTGTCAAGTGAGTGGCCACTGCATTGTCTTCGGCATGCTTCACATTGGGCATGTTCGTCTTCCCAAAATCTTTGACGCAATTTTCTCCTGAGAAAACGAAATCAGTTCAATGCATAAACAGAGGTATAAAATGTATCTACATACAAGAAAAGTCCTGGACACCATCGACAGCAAAGACAAGTAGTCAATATGCTCAGGATAATCAGCAGTGGAAGTCCAAGACCTAGACCTAGTCCTAATAGAAGAGAGAGATCATTGGTCGATTCGATATTGAATATTTGCGAGAGCGACGTGGTAGTCGACGTCATGGAAGTTGTTGACGTCGTGGAAGTTGTTGACGTCGTGGAGGTTGTTGACGTCGTGGAAGTTGTTGACGTCGTCAACATGGTAGATGTTGAAGCACTGCTAGTCGTACTAGTTCTTGTTGATGTGGTACTGATAGTTGTCGCGATGATTGTTGACGATATTGTTGTGGACGTGCTTCCTATGAAAGTTGTTGTAGTTGAAGTAGTAGTTGTTGTGGAAGTTGTTGTAGTTGAAGTAGTAGTTGTTGCGGAAGTTGTTGTTGTTACGCATGTTGCAGATGATGCGATTACAGTAAATGTTACACAATATTGGTTTGATTGTACATGTTCACTAACAAAGCAAGAAATATATGTTACAATAATCAATGGCTTAAAATTTTTACTCAGTGAAGACTATTGTGCAAAGCCGCTGTGATCCAAGTTGATTTTGTTGTGGCGTCCAAGTGAATGTAACATAAACTAGTGAAGCATTTGTCGGCCACATCGTCAAATTACTAATTTGCATGCCGGTAATACGCTGAGACACGACGAAGTCAGTAATATCAGTGAAATTCGGGTTGCACTTATTCATGGCGAATAGATTGAAAGTCATTGAAACACCCACCGTTACTTCCAAACAGCCTTTCAGAGGAAGAATGGTGGGTGCTGTTAAACATATGGGTTTCGGCATAACATAAATTAGAAATTGAACTGGCACTGAACTCATTGGCGTGGTATCTGTTTCGTTAATAAAATCTTCAACCTACACAAAAAGAACTAAGCTTGTTGACCGAACATCCCATGTTTGTTATAAGGAAAACTGATTTTCTGTTTCAAACGAATTCAGATAGTATTCTGTCGATCAAGTAATCAAAGCAATAGCTATGATGTTTGAAGCAGTACAGTAGTCAAAAAAAATACGCAAATGAAACAATTTTCAGTGGCGATAGAAGCATTTTCATGTATCTTCTAGCAAAACTTAATGATATTTAATTGTTCTTGTTAAGTTTTAATAACAACGATTTGACTCGTAATCAACGCAATTGGCGGCGGTGAGGAAAAATCACTATGACGAAAGTGAATGCAAAAAAATTTCAGATGTCATTAAGTTACATAGTTCACGAAGAAGACAATATGAGATATTCCATCCAAAAGTGATACATAGTGACTCATTTGGTCAAAGCAGACTATCTCAAATGTTTTCTTTTACTTTGATATATACTACGACAGCACGAACTCTCATAAAAAGAGTTCAAGAACTCCATGTTACATGAATCTAATTTTTATGTAGTAAAGAACATTTTTATGTTGGAGACATGCAGCACACAATGTCCACACATATGCAGCAAGTTATTTTGCTTTTGCCGATAAGAGGTAATAGATTTCTATTCGAATGATTTATTGATGAAATCAAACCTTTAGTGTGGATTGTTCCATAAAAATAACTAATACCATGACTGTGATTGAAGAATTAGTGATGTATGAATAGCAATCTGCTTACCTGAACAGCAATTGCATACCAGACGCCAGCTGTAACACCTGTGAATGTGATAGTGCAGTTGGACAGAGTTGTGCCGTTAGGGACACTGCCTGGATAACAAATACCACCACATTCATCAATTGCCTGACGAATTGGATACGATGAAGTCGATTTTAGTGTTCCTAGAGTTTCGGTAGTAGTTGTGGCAGCTGTAGTCCCATTTACTCCAATTGCACAACCTCCAAATGCAAGACACATCGAACCAGTACATGTGATGGAATCACAGCCAGCACAGGAACATGTACACATTACTGGACATGAACTGGTACAGCCACTACAACCTCTTTTTTTTCTAATATGAATGAGTTCTTTATCACTAGCCACTTTGTAAAAATTAATATCAGATAGATGTTTGATATGTTCTTCTTTGTCGGATCGTTTTCGTCTTCGATATCCAAGTGTATATGTTGACCATCGACAGCGTACATCATCACCGACATTGACATCCGAAACAGGAATATTAATTTGAATGGTTCTATTTACAATGGCATATTGTGGAGAAACAATCGAGGCAACAGGTGGAGTATTAATAAAACCATCTGGCCTTTTTCGAAGATCAATGTATGTTACAATGGACCATTCAAGACCTGCTGTAGCAGGATTATTTAACGCTACCCAAGAGCTTCCTCTATAAGCTAGATAAAAATGTGCATCAGCAGAAAGTGTAACATTTTTCGAACGTTCACTTGTCATCATTTGCAATGATGAACTAGCTGATGTACAATCGGTAAGAATATCAACTGGTGCACTAGAATAACCACCATCAGTTGAACAATCAACAACACATGTTAGATTAGTGTTCGCACTAGCCCATATACTAGTCGAGATCGGTACATTGTTGGCACATTTTACATATGGATATGTCCATGAATAAGACTGTGTAATAGTAACATCAACTAAAGTGGAATTATCATAAGGATTAATGGGGGTCCATTTGATAGTTCCGCCGTTGAAATGTTTTGCATCAGTAAAAACGAAAGAATAAAACAATATGAACACACCCAAGCACATTGTTTGTCACTACTTACATCAATGAATTAGAATCTACAACAGCAAATGTCTCGAAGAATATCATATGATGAAAAAGCACCTATTAATGACTAATCAGAAAATCTCATGAATTTATTCTTTGACGACTGAAGTGTGCATTGAAAAACAATTTTTCTCAGCAAGTTGTTTCATGAATAAACGAAAAAAAAAAGGATATGCTGTTTGATCAAGTTTGAAGTGAGGTGAACTGCTTTTAATTGAGAAAAAAAGATATTGTTCATATCGGTAACAGTTCTGAATATAAATATGTATTACCTGTTTTTATGTAAGGTTGTTATCTATGAAAACACTTATTGACTTAAAAAAGTAAAAACTAAATTCATGGCTTTAGCGATTTTTTTATGACAAAATCATGAAATTCAATTGATGGCGATGTTCCTTTTAAACAATCAACATGAAAAGTATCAATTTCTATGTCAGTTGCATCATTTTAATGCAACTTTTTTGAGGTTTTTGAGTCGGTAAATAGCGCTCTTTCAAATTGTATTTTCTTTCTATTTGAATATGTTGACTAGTGGCTCTATCAAACAAACATTTTAAAGTAAAAATTCAATGTAAGTATCAGTACGAAACTATAATTTCTCTGAGTTATAGATTCTCATAATCATGTGCGTGTTGACGATATTAATTTCAATACCTGTAAACACAGTTATTATCGCAATAGTATCAATTGTTCCTTAATACTATTCTTGTTCACTGAAATAATTATAATCTAAGACACATAAAATATGACTTCTATCGGTTTTTCTTTCTTTGCTAAAGCTTGTGACAAAAGTAAAACACGTTTTTTTTCAAATGAAGAAGTGAATAGAATTTGCGAGCGCCTGCATCTTATATTGTTTGAAACCGTACCAGTGATTATTACTTTTGTATTATTTAAAAAAATTCATTTTTAACAAAATTCAATTTACTTTCGGTAGATCAAAATGCAAAATTCAAAATACATGTTCATTGTAAGAGTAAAATACACAATGTAATTATAAAAAAAATTTATTTTATAGAATATTATAGAAATTTAGTTATGAAAGCCAAATTTTCATTTGAAAAAATTTATTGAATACTATTGAATATCTGGGTATCTACTCTTTACGAAAGTTAATATTGCTAAAAGTCAATTGTCATTGAATCTGACACCAACTCTATAATCTGCTAAATACGCATAGCCAAGTTACCAATAAAAAATTAACAATTTATAAATTACTTCTAAGAAAAAACTCTTGTTTAATTCCAAAAATTGAAAAATATGGCATTCACATCCAGAAACACGTGCAATACGTGTTCTGAGAAGATTTAAATGTTACTATGATCTGTCAAGTACTAATCTTCCAAAAATTTGTAAATAGATATAAAGTACTACTCATACTAAATTCGAATAAATTTTTTTCTCATTCATTTATATATAGTTTGATAGAGTTTGACAAACTGGCCATGAGCATATAGTTTTTATTTCGACTCAATCACTGTTCGGCTGAGAAAACCCATAAAAAACTTCATTTCAGTCATTGGAGTTTTTTATGAGATTTTTCAGTGGAGCAGTGATCGAATAGAAATAAAAACTGTATACTAGATGTGACAAAGTTTTGTGACATTTTGTGTTTTTCATGTCACTCTGCTCAGGAACATAATAAAACGTTGATCTTTTTTTTTCAAAAGATGTGCCATTGAATGTTCTACTCGGATCACAAGACCAAATTTTTATAGCTACTTTTTTGAAATTTTAATAGACTACTAACATTAAACACGTATATCATCGTGCTATTTTCTGCAAGGAAAAATAAGAGAAAGTCAAAAATTGTTGAATTTCGGTTTTCATAATTATTGTTCATTCATTATGGTTATAATGCTTGGAACCAATCAGAGATTTAGTGTAATCTTCAAAGCATGAAGATTATTGCTCATCGTCATCTCAATTGCAAGTGAAAAATAACGTCTGCATCAATTGATCTGGATGCTTCGCTCTGACATAAAACATTTTCTGTTCGATGCACAAATCACTAGATTAAACTTCCTTGACTGTTGAAAGAAATAGTAAAAAAAAAAAGCTTAACAAAATAAAAAACAACATAACACAATGAGAACTTGATCTGAACTGAAGATGATGAAAATACGTTGAGAAGAAATCAGTACTGATCTCATGGGAAGTATTGATGAAGTGATGAACGTTTTGATTTTTTTTACAGCGCCGGAGACAGTTCATTTTTATCTAATATTGGTTTCATTAAAAATGATCTTAGTTGTCAATCACAAAATGAACTTCTCCGATTTTTCCTTGTGGACAATAACACAATGATACACATGTTCAATGTTAGTTGTCTGTTAAAATTTTGCAAATAGCTAGAAAGCTTTGGTTTTGTGATCCGAGTAGAACGCTCAATGGTGCATCTTTTGAAAGCAAAACCAATCAACGTTGTATCATGCTGCTGAACAGAGTTACATTCAAAACAATGAATGTCACAAAACTTATGTCACACCCGATATTCGTGACCGTTTTGGTCAAGCTCTATGTCAAACTATATATAAATGAACAAGAAAAAACTTCACGTGCATTTTGCATTAGTAACATCTTACTTTATTTATGACCAAATCAACATGACGTTTGTCGTGCGAAAAATATTACTGAAATTCAAATATCATAGCATTTGTCAATATCTTCTCACAATACTTACTTTTCTATTACTACCATAATATTGTCTCAGATTTTTTTCCATTTGTTATTGATCAGATAGATTAATTAATAGAAATTTCTTCTACTTTTACTTATTATTCGAAGGTTTATTTAGTATCATAGTTCGTTATTTTATTACGAATTCTTTTAGACATTCGTAATGCCAACGGAGAATGAAAAAAAAGCAATATGCATTGATTAAAACTTTTTTGTATTCAAGAAATCAAATCCAATTGTTTTATACAAAGAGAAGATTGTAAATATCTTTTGCGCTCATAGATTAATAAAATTTTTTTTTTATGATTGTTTTTTTTTGTCAGACCTTATGATGAAATCATGAAGTAGAATAAATTTTCGTATGTGTAAGTAGAATGGCAAAGTTGAAAAAGAATTGTATGAAAAGCTGAATATCATTCTGATTCAATGTTTGTTTTTTTCGAAAAGTAAAATATCTATGTTTTTAAGTGAAATTAAAAGCAACTACGACAGTAAGAATCAATCGATAAAGTAATATCGATACCATTAATTGCACAAAATCGTTAACAAAAAAAAAAGAGAACATTAGAAATCAATTAAATCGACATTCTATAAACTAAACTTATATTAAATTAGACGACGAAAATATGTTATTTACTCGACTTTTTTCTAAAGATCAAATTAAGTGAAATAATTAACGATAGATAGATCCTTAATTTTGCAAAGTACAATTATTTATCATTTCAATATTATCGCTGCTCCAATTGAATAACTTTCTTCTCATTTTCCAAAACGAACCGTTCTTTTACGAATTGAAAACTTCGAATGCTTGTAATAAACATGATTAACATCAATCGTATGAATATTTGATAAGAAAAATGATGTTTATGATATTCTGTAAAACAATGGTTTTGACGATCTATCATTAAAAACTTCATCAACAAAATTTGTCGTTAGAATTGTATGAGTTACATGATCTTCTGATTTCTAATTAAGTTTTCAGTAACTAATGGTCTATGGTCTTGTGTTGCATATATATATATATAAGTGAACTAGGTGAAAGTGAAGGTGAAAACTATATTTCTTTTCATATGAAATCCTTTCCTGTTGGAAAGAAATACATGACGAATTGTTTTCGTTTTTTTTTGAAAGAGTTCATTTCATAACGCTCTCGAAACATTATAAGACCGACCTTGTATTCTTGAAAGGAAAAAAAATGTGCAAGGCTTCTTTTTCTCTGCCGAGCAATTTTTTTTTCAGATTTCTAGATTTTATTCATTTTTTTCAGTTTTTATCTGCATAGTAATATTTAACTCAAGTATGGACAATATTTTGCTTCTACCGTCTTAGCGATATGTTAACTTACAGTTGAACAATTCATGAGAAAAAGTTATTAGAAAAGAGCAGTTAATAAAAGTTGCAGTTTTTTTTTTGTTCTCCTTTGCAACATTTTCTGCAGAAAATGTTCACATTTTTTTTACAAAAAAATTCTATCTATGGCTATAAGGCATAACTAACGTAGTACGCATTCAAACACATCACACACGACGAGATCTTTTTCAAGAAGGCATAAATTCAATAAAATGTCTTTTTTTAATACTTGAAATCGTACTCCACCTACGCGCATTCTCCTTGAAATTCAAACACATTTTCGGTATGAAAGGACACATTCTTAAGTCAAAAAAAAGAACATATCTTCTAGGACACGGGGGACGATGTTGTGTGGCATTTAAAATATGAAAGTGAAAAAAATTTGTGGATAAATAGAAGATCGTCCCCAGCTTCACATTCTCATCAGTCTTATATCCTCATATTTACATCTTCACCCTGCTGTATAGGAATAGAGATCTTTTCCATGTTAGCTTTTTTCGGCAATAAAAGCATTTTAACTCGTATAAACAAATTTCTCTATTTTCGAGAATTCGTTGTATTTTTTTGAATCTAATTCAATTTATATTATCGTGTTAATAAAGTTTCTTTGTGGGTTTATCCATGGAGTCTCGCCAGGGCCATCCGGCGACATCATCCAAATTCAGTGAAACTTTCAGAGTTTGTAGAGTGTTTTACGCTGATCATGTTGGTTATAAAATTTTTATATTTGGTCACCAGTTTTAGAGAGATACGGGTCAAATACTATTGATGCATTTTATGTACTTTTCAATAAATTCAAGTTAGAATTTTATCGAAAAACCGATCATAGTCCATGATTATTTATTCAGATTTTAAAACCAATTATATATTTAGATTCCTCGTGAAAACCTGCACTAGAATCCGTAAGAATCTAAAAAGTTTTCATGCATTTTTATTTTGCTTACTGATTCGCAATGTAGGGGAAGAGTGTACGAAAAAGTCGATGAGAAAGTTGAAATGACCGAGAATGATGGCTTTGTCAGTTCGATAGAGCAGAATTTTCTCTACAGTATGTCCTAATTTGTTTTCTCTACACCTTTGATTTTAGAATGAACAAGTGTCAAAACTATTTTAGGTCACAATTTTTTTATCAAACTCAGATGAATATATCGGTGAGATCTAATCAGATGGCTTGTTAACTATTTCAAAATTTACTAAGATTTGTAAGAACGTGTTAGCGTGATAATTTTAGTATTAAATTATCCAATGTTCGATTCTATTGTCACAAAAAAAAACGAGTCAAATAATATCGTTGTATATGATGTCCTTTTAATAATTATTATGTATAAAAAAAACCAATGCAGTTTTCTTGAAAAGAAGGGAGTAGCACCATATTATTTATTTAAGCTAGAAACCTACTTATATTAGAGTCAAACATTGGATAATTTAGTACCAACATGATCAGCGTAAAAAGCTCTACAAACTCTGAAAGTATCACTGAATTTGGACAATGTCGCCGGATGGTTCTGACGAGACTCCATGGATACATCCAAAGTAATGTTATGTAAAATTGATGATTCTATATTACATCCTATTCTAATTAGCAATCTTAACTTCAATATATAAGAACCTGAAAATATTGACAGTTGCCGATGTATGTATGTCATTTCCTTAATAAAGATGAGAACAGAATAAATTTCTGACTTCTTCTTAACTATTTTTCTCTTCTAGATAAACGCTAAAAACAAGTTTCAAATTTTTATAAGTATAATTCTATAGGAGATTTGTTCGATACTTTATTAAAATCATTTCTATTTCAATAGACATAATGTTGACTTGTATTTGAACAATTTGAAGCCTTTGAAAAATTATTTTAATGAATATGATTCATTGCTCGATATATTAAACAAAAATCTATTAAGTCATTAATAGTACACGAAAGATTTTTCTTACTTAAATAAAAGTAAAATTGGTTTGGTTAAAAAAAATAAATTTAGTAATTTGAATTTGGCGCTTAAAAACAGATCAACAAAATGAATATCAATCAGAAATCGCAAAGTAACACTTCTGCTACTCATATTAATCCATCCGAACATCATGATGTTCTCCTTCCATCTACAGTTAAAGTATGCGTTTTCTTTTTATTAATGTCTATAAATATCATTGAACTATCTCATATAGTTTAACGAAACTTTTTCTGATAAACCATACAATGCTTTACAAACATTACGTAGTGCTCAAGATGGTGTTCGTTTACCAAATAAAGTATTTATTCATGCTGTTGATCAATTTCTTAAATATTTACGAAACGAAACAAATAAAGTTTGCTTTTGAATTTTCAATTGATTTAATATAAATTCATCTATATCTATCTGTAGCATTATGCAAATGGTAATGATTCTTCAAAAGATACAATCGATAATAATGATAAGACTTCGATTGCACCTCTATCAATAACTAAAGGAACTTCACTTGAACGAACAGTAGAAGATATGTAAGTGTATGATGAATACTTGCAGACATCAACCTATAAGAAGATTGTTACGTTGAGAAGATATTATAGAAATATCTGTATTAACCTGCTTAAATTTAAATAGTTTTATAAACTCGAAATATTTTCTATAGTAGTCATAAGTAATTATTTGTTTCCTTACTAATTTCAGTTGTTTTTTAATGAATTTTTTAAACCATCTATTTGAATAATTCATGAATGGTATCATCTATCGAGTATGCATGAAAATTGTCTATGAGATGATGAGATATCTACATGTGACATTATGATAATGAATAATCTGCAAAGCATTTTATGGAGATGAACGTTTCACAGATTGCTCTACTAAATAACGCAAAATCAAATTCATAAGGGAATCCAATTCACAAGCTACTCACATAGCAAACTAATCTGATCAGAAGGTGAAATTGATACACTATTTCTTAAATGTCATGTATATGTTAGTGAGCGAAATTGAAATTCGAATAGACATATATTCGTACAAAATAAAACAAAAACTAAAATCTGAGTAGAATAAGTATTTTTTTTATAAAAAACAATCTGCTTGTTTTCCTAAACCCTTTAAAACTCAAAGAAATTTAGTCTATTCACTCACATTTGTACGATCATCTCGTTTTTAATGACAATTTGTTGAATAGTAAGCTCGCATGTCTTGGGTGTGGATAACGACAGATCCTTGCTCTTCCCTTCAACATCCATGTGATTCGAACCGAACAAAAACCGTCAGGAAACCATTCGGTATAAGACGCACTACATTAGTACTATTTGTCGATAGTGGCAAAAATATCGGAAGTAAAGTTTTTGTAAAAACTCATTGAAAAGTTTCAGCCATTGCTACCGATCAATGTATCGGCTTATGCCTCTACTTATAAGTATCGCGGCATACTTGCTAGTAGTGCAAATAAATATGCAACACGGTCATATTATTATAAAAGCTTCGTTTTATAACGTTTTTTTTTAGAAAGTTTTCGATTAAGAAATCTGTTTTCTAATTCTTTATAATAAAGTAATTCTACATTTACTATTTAATGCATGATCGCTATGATTATACATTGCTTGTCTTTTCTTTTTCATTTCACATTCCTTGCATTGGTTGTATAAACTTATCTCAAGTCAAATTCTAATCTTGTCCGATGAATATTGGAATTTGACCATATTTTAATTTCGCCTACAGCGTATACATATTGATCTCATATCATATCATACGTTATCCGAAGCATAAAATAAATTGTCATTGAAGTTCGATTATATTTTTTTTAGGGTAACATTTGAATTTGTCGAAAAATTTCGTAAATCATTTGCTGAAGCTGATACAGATAATACAGGTTATTTGGATGTGAGTGAATTTACTGCATTTATGCGGCGAACATATCCTGATATAACTGATCGAGAAGCACAAATTATTTTTATGAAAGTATGAAATAAATATTTAACAGAAGACAAAAAAAAAAAACATAATTTTTTTTTCTAATTAGATAGGTAGATGAAGATTATTTAAAATAAACATAAAATAAAATCGATTAAATTCTTCATATAGATACAAATTGTGACGGTGAAGTTGATCTTTCAGAATATTTAACATATATTTTATTTGAACATCAAGAAAAAGAAATAATGTATGATATGTCAAAACCAATGCCTTATCCAACTAATCCAAAAGAATTTACATTAAAAAATCTTTCACTTGATCTTTATATTGGTGTAACTAAAAAAAAAATATTTTCTATTTGAAAATAATATAATTTAGTTTTTTTGCTTCAATAGTTTCAATTCTTTCCAGGTATATCACGTACTGGTAAAATTCTGGAACACATTGATTATACATATGGACGATATCTATCAATAACACGTAATGGTATTGTATCACATTGGTCAATATCATTAAAACTTATTCGAGAATCAAAAATTCAATCAATTGAACAAAGAAAACAGTAAATTAAGCAACAAAAATAAAAGAAACATTACAAAATAATCTTAAGAGGGAAGAACCTCAAGTGATACATCACTTTCAAGCTACTACTAGATTCAATCGATAGAGCCTAATGATTATGTAAATATCCTAAAGTGGTTCGAATTGCTGGACATTCGCTGCTGAAATTTCGAATTTTTGGTGGATTTTTCTTGACAAGCGGGTAGAAAAGATTTCAGAATTATTCGATCAAACCTCTCCGATATATGAATCTTTCAAAATATACATGATTTTTACAATAATCATGGCAAAGTGGCTATATTTCTAAAAAATTCATAGAACTTAATGAAAAAGTTCTCAATAGTCTAGTCGGTGCCTTTATGTGGGCAAAGTTTCACTTGAAAACTGGTACCTCATAGGAAAAATTCACCAAAAATACGATATCTTAGTAATAAACATTCAGCAGATCGAATCACTCTAGAATATTTATCTACTCACTAGACGATATCGACTGAATATAGTTTCAGATGAAAGACGATTTATCATGTGAGACCTTTTCATCGTCAGTTTAAATCATTTTTTTCTCTATAGAACTCTTCCATTATGGATAACATGTACATGTGTTCTACCAGATATGAATTATTTTGCTATAGCAACAACAGAACGTGATCTTATTTTCTATGATATAAATTCTCATACATATATAGGTTCTATAATAATAAATCATTTTCCAGCTAGTTTAACAACAATTGATTATCGTATGAATATAAAAAATTCTTCTCAATCAACAATTTTTTGTGGAGATTCATTAGGAAATTTATTTATATTTCAAGCTAAAGATTCATATAGACCAATGTTTCATATATCTGATTTAACACATTCTATGAAAACAGATTCAAGAAGAAATTATTCATTTCCACGAATGGTTAATAATGAATATTTAACAGTATCAATACTTTGCTTTTGTAATTTACACAATGATTGGATTGTACAAGTTAAATGGATTGATGATCTAGATTTGTTTGTATCATGTGCATTAACATCAACACGAAGTTTATATATTGGAGATTTAAATAAAAAAATGGAAAAATATGCTGTAGCAAAAAAAGGTTTTGCTGTTTTTGATTATTGTAAGGTATTGAATAATAGAAAATTGTTTTTCTTATATTGATAAAGAAGAATAAAAAATAAAAAGCATGATAATAGAATTGAAAATTAACTAAAACCTTAAAGAATGTAATAGACATTCTCTTTCTTGCCAGTGCCAATCATTTGTTAGTAAACAAACTTTTTGTTTTTTTTTCGAAATTCTATGGCGAAGATTGAAAGCTACTCTTTAGAAATAAGTCTTATTAATGTTTAAAATATTCCAAACACATTCGTATATGTTCCAAGATGGTTACTGATGACGGAAGTCCTGCAGCTGATTAATCACTTTTGGAGTTTGAACACTCTACATCATGTAGACTCTAATGAGTTATGAATACCCTCAAATAGGTTCAATACCTATTAGTTTATTGCTTCTTAGACACTGCATTTTCAAGGTATTTTTCAAATCAAACTCTTTAGTTCTTCTCAAAACTACTGAACAAATTAATTTTTGAATTTTGACTTGAAACTTTGCACAATGTTTGAGACGAACAGTTCGTGTTCGAATTCGGAAATTATTCAACAATAGTTCAGATAGCGTCGAATACTTCATTAATTACCCAAACGTTTCTTGCGATATATGAATAATCATGGAAGCAACTTAAGGTTCAGTCACATTTAAACTCGAATATGTCTGAGCATTGTTGACTATTTTTTTTTAGTATACTTGCCGACTTTCAGTTTTTGAATCATTTATTCCACTGGACATAGACCTATCATATTGGCTAACTTCTACTTCCTTTTATTAATTGACTGAAAGCATCTATTCTTCTGACTACTACTGATAATAATGAAGAATTATGACGAGTTTCACTATTAGATTAGAAATTCATTGGATTACGATCAATTAGGTGCTTTCGATGTCCTGCAGAACACGTGTCTTGTGATGTTCTCTGTTACAGACATGCATTCAAACAGCAGTATTTATATTTATATCTATTTTTTTAAATTAACAAGGCTCATCGATCAATAGTAACTGGTAGTAATGATGGTGTTATTCGTTTTTGGGATCCATTTGTTACAGAACGAGCTGCAGCTATATTACGTGGACATAATTCTTCTGTTACTCATTTAGTTGTCGATAAACGAGAAAATCATATAATTAGTATTGATAAAGGAAAAAGTAAGATTTTTTTGTCATTTTGAAAACAAATCATAAATTAATTTAGATATTATTATTTGGGATGTTCAAACATTAAAAATAATTCAACGTATATCACATACAATTTTTGATTTATCTGGACAAGATTTAACAATATGTTATTTAAATCCTACTCAACAACGTTTAATTATAGGCAATAAAAAACTTCTTTCATTATCACATATAAATGAATCATATATTCATAATGAACGAACATCACATATATATCCAATAACAAAAATTTTATATAATCCTTTATTTGATGTTATTATATCATGTGATGAAGGTTCAACTATAAATATATGGAATATAATAACAGGTGAAAAAATAATGCATATATTAAATGCACATGTTACACAATTTGATGAATATAATGAACATGCAGTAGAAATAACAACAATGTGTTTAGATGAAGCTAAACGTCGTTTAATAACAGGTGCACATGATGGTTCATTAGCATTATGGAATTTTAATAATGGTCATAATCTTTATCGTGTTAATTCAAATGGAATACATGCAAAAGAAATAACAGCATTATTGCATGAAAATGAACGTTTATTTGTTGCTGGTTGGTCAAGACGTATTCGAGTATTTCATTTGAGTAAATCAGTTGTTATTCGACAAGGTTTGTATCAAATTTTAAACGAATGATTAATATACATTTTGCATAATACTGGTTTTTAAAGTGAAATAAGAAGATTAAAGTAACATTTAAAGAAAGCATTGAAAAGTTTTCGAACAATAAGATAATGCGTTCCTGAAACAATATGACTTGAATGGTCAAATAAGCATTGTCGTAAACGTCGTTTTTAGATGTTTTCTTTTCATTGTTTGGTAACGTTAATCTATAGGTATGTTCAATCGCAAATTGTGTGAAACGACAGTATACAGGTCTAATTTTGATTGTCTCGGTAATTGTAATCATCTTTCTGGAACATCTTTCATATATCCAGGACGATCATTCAGATCCTTGAAAAATAGCTATAAAAAAATGCTAAACAACGATGGCTATTTAGGTGTCAGTTTTTGGTCGTCATTCCTCATCCTACATTACTGAACGGTTTTCATGATTAGGTACGCCATCATCTAGGATATTGTCTAATTCACACTGTTTATTTTTGTTGTATTTGGCTTTGTTTGTGTGAAACAATAGGAAAGTGTCTAGAATACAAAATAATAAGTGTTCTCATCTACGATACTGTTCAATGAAGAAAAGCAATGTGCAAATATGATTTAAAGAAAAAGAAGAATTAAACTGCATTCCAATCTTAACAAAGCGTTTAGAGAAGCATTTAGGCATAGTTCTCTTATGAGGAAATTTTTTCAGATGCTCCCTTCCAATTTCCATGATCGTTTACCTTTAGATACTACATAATATTCTAATGAAAGGCCTAAAATGATTTGGGTCTCTAATGAGATTTGACTAAACTATTGAATTTTTAAGTTATCTATTTTCTCGGTCCCAGGTTTTGCAGACAACTCATATATTCGAATTTTGATGCCTAATGTGCTGCATATAGAAAACTCAACTGTATTATCTTTGATAAAAATAACTCAAAGATTTTGAAAAAAGTCTCTTAGAGACATGAAACTTTGAAAGTGTAGATCCTTTTTCATGTATAGTGTATATGGCATGAATTTTTTTTAAATGTGTCATATTTCGAATAGACTTTGTTCAAAACTTGTGAGTTTTTTATGAAAGTTAGTGTAGATCAATTCTCAATATGTGAGAAGTCTCAGGTCAATTTTCGAAAATACGAGTTTTCAAAAATACGGCGCTTCTAAAAAATAGACATATTAAAAATTCGATAGTTTAGCCATATCTGAATATGAACCAAATTTCTTTTAGGGTATTCATTAGAACACGATGTAATATCTACAGGCAAAATATTATTGAAATTGAAAGAAAGCATCTGAAGAGGTTTCCTCATTAGTAATAATGAATATGATGATCAAGATTTATCCTTTATAAATGATTAAAGATTATCTAACGATGATTTAATGATGCTTTTTAATTCAATGTATAAGACGCGTGAAAACATCGAAAAATCAACCGTTCAGACGATGATTACTCAACTTACACATAAATGAGAATTATAACCGTCAATGTTTATTCGCCTATATCTCCATTTTATACGATGCATTGTAAACGATCTTCTTAACAGCAATCATTAGGAATAAAAATATATATTTTTAATAAGACTTGTTAAGCATTATAGAAATGATCAGATCCCAATTTTTTGTTTTCATGCTTTGGAACAAAATACAAACGAAGTACGATGATCACAAAACTCCTCAAATTATCAATTTTTTTTTCTCATCTAAATGGTAACTGAGCAACATAGGAAGTCTATCATCATTTCGTATAATGTTTCTCATTAGCAAAAACATATTCGATCAACAATATCTGAAATATTTTAGTCGATGAATTTCGATCATTACATAACGATGATATTTTATCAATGAGTATAATGATGAATATTCTAGCCACTGGTAATAAAAATAAAATTCTTCTTCGAAATCATCTCTATTGTCGATTATTAATCTAAAGCTAGTTATGATGGTGATATTATTTTATGGACTATTGAAACAGGAATGCCATTTATGAAATTAAATTCAGTTGAAGATATTAAACCAAAACTTATATCACTTTCATGGCTTTATAAACAAACGGTAGGTTTCTTTTTTTAAAGAATAATTTTATTTAATAAATAAATAAATAAATCTAGACAAAAGGTGCTATTCAAGCTATTTTTCCAAAATATTTTTCTCGTCGAAGAATTAAAAAATTAAAAAGACGTGATACAGATAATACTGAACGGTTAGACGAAAAGAATAAATAAATATCTTCAAAACAGAAAAAAATAAAATAAATATTTATATAATAGAATTCGTCAATCATTATTAAATCGTCTTCGAACAAATTATGAAACATCTGTTGAATGTGTTTTGTATGTTTTCTTCTTATTATTATTTTTTTTTTGTATTATGGTTATTATGAAATATCTTAGAAAATCTAATGTTGATAATGAATTTAATCAATCAACAATATCATCTGATTATCATTTGGATCAATTAATTTTTCTTCATACACGTGAAACAAATCCTTCATCAGCTATACTTATTACTTCTGGTAGTTTGGGTTGGATTTGGTGGTGGTCTATACATGTAATTGGACGTTTAGTTGCTGTTTTTAATGGATCAAGAAAATCTCAAGGTTTGTTTTGTTAAATTTTTTTTTTCTGTAAGCAAACAATTTTCTTTTCAGAACATGTTCTAGCTATGTGTGTAGATGAACAATGTAATATATTATTTACATGTAAGTTTATCAGAAGCATTTTTTCTATATATATATATATATTATTAATAAATCTTAGCTGATACAGCGGGATATGTAGCCCTATGGTTTATTGGTGATTATGCTTGCAAACAACCTGATTCAAAAGAAAAACAAATGAAATTAATTGAAGAAAAAAATCGAATATTAACACATTTTGCTTCTAGTCTACATTCAAATAGTGCTGGTTTGTAGAGAATAAACTACTAGAAAAATAGAGACTGACAACATTTCTGAGATCCGAACCGATCGTATAACTTGTTGAATACTTTTCTTGTTAAACGAGAATTTAATTAAATGAACTTAAATGATCGTTAAAACAATTTGAAATGAAATTTTAATCTATCGATTAATCAGTAGAAAATGTTTCTTCATCAATCTTCATTACCATTTGTATATTTTTTACTTTTTAATAGAGAAAAATTTATTTTTTCGTTAAGTTTTGTTTATTTCGTGTGATTTATACAAAACGAAATAGTTTTGAATAAGAGTTTTGTAGAATTTTAGAGATTTCTCTAAGAGAAATTAATTGAATATCTACTAATCATCCTTCAGGCATTGTAAATGCCTATTCTAATCTTTGTATGTCCTTCTAGACTCCTTTTTATGTTAAATTCCAAACTTCTTATATAAAAATGTAATAAAAACATGAAAAATTCAGATGCATAAGATTAATCGATAACTGGGTGATTCCACGGGGTTTATACCACTTTTTGGAAGTGGTCTTGGATTTTCATTTTCGTCTTCTAATTCACCCGAAGACAGTCTGAAAAGCATCCAGCAAA